GTTTTTTTAAGTCCTCTGAGGTGACTACTGTTGTGATTTAGGGCTATACAAGAATACATTGAATTGAATTCAATTGAATGGAAAGAACCAAGCATTCCTTATTTATTAAAAACAAATACATATAAATATAATATCTCAGACTATATCCAGAACGCAGACAGAATCTTGGCTGTGAGGAAATGCACTTTCAGGCATTGGATTGTAATTATGGAAACATGAAGACCAAACAAAACAACAGTTGTATTAAAGGCCCAAATCTGGTGGATAGTGAAGCGCTCCTTGTAAAGCGAGGTCTGTAGATGCAGCTTTAGACCTTATACCCTGCAGTAAACAGCTATTGTCCGTGGTGCGACCTGCCCTGGAGCTCTGACTGACTGAGCCGAGTCCAGTCATGGTGCCGTGTCCTCTAATGGATCTGTGTTTAGGAAGATGAATGAGGAGGTAATAAAGCCCAGGGAGCGTGTGAACTGCGGGGAGTCGGCAAGAATTTTATTTTCAAGTCTAAAAGTCGACGCAAGCAAAACAAACTCAGCCGTAAAAGGTGCAATGCGGTCTTGAACTTTTTTTTTTTCATCCTTTTTTTTCACATTAGGCTGCTTCCTTTATTGTTTTGTTAGGAATGTTTTGCCGTATTATCATTTGTATTACGTCAAATCACAAGTCGGATCCGTGGATAGAATCGAAAATTGCTTCAAATTTGTGTTGTAGACATTTTTTCACAATATTGATAAATCAATCTCTATTTTTAGAGCGCTTTTCCAACACAAAGCGCTTCGCAATCATATAGAAAAAAAAAATCGTCACATAAAACAAACATCAAAATCACCATTAAAAAACATTTAAAATCACAGGTAAGTATAAACATTAAAATCACACAAGGGATTCAAATAATAAATAGAAATGCACAACAAAGAGATTTCAGTTGTAAAATCCTTCAGTTAAAAGCGAAACAAGTATGGAAAACATAGGTGAAATCAATTAATTTCACCTATTTTCATTCGGCTGTTGCTATTGAGAAATGTGGGTGTTTCTTTTACCATATTTCTCAAGTATCATGTGATATATTTTCAAAGCCTTTAGGGTAATTGAGTGAGTCCATGATTGCATCTCTTTGTTAGTCTAAGCTGTTGATTATCTTCATTAACTGGTTATTTTGGAGGGTGTGACCTGCCTCAGGCCACACGCCACTGGGACAGGCTTCAGACTGTCGCTATGAGGAAGTTGGCCCAGTTCCTTTTCTTTCCCTATGATTGAATTAAAGAAGACGTATTGTGTTCCTTTCTGCTATGTTGTTATTATGTATAACACCCTAAGCTTATTATAATACATTATTAGTGCATTTGAGATCCAGAAGGGGCAAAATCACTTGTTTAATGTACTTGTTCACATAACAAAAGCTGTTGTTTACAAACTTAAGTAGTTTGCATTTATTTGTTAGAAAAACAGTTTTTATTTTTATTTTCCTAACTATGCACATTTTATTGCTTCAAAACTGACGATGAATATTGCCTGACGAAGGCCCACGGACAAAACGTTGCACATATGTAAATATAAAATCACTGGTGTATGCATTCTCTTCCTTTTCAATGCTTCAAAACAGAAATTGCAAATCTAATCAGAATTGTAATTCTTCTCCAACAAAGTACTGAAGGAATGTGTCAGCACAGCGTAATGTGGGGGTCTAGGGTCAGATAATGTTTTGGCCTGTTTGTTTGTGTGTGTGTGTGAGTGTGTATGTGTGAGTCAATATAATTTATTTCTATCAGACTCTGGGTCCACACTAAAACAAGAAACACAGACAGACACCAAAAGACAAGACTCACATCAAACAAAAATACAGACAGCTTAAAAAAATGTCTTCAGAAGTTCACCCTTAAAGGAGGCTGCACAGCCCAAGACCTGAGGTGTGTGATTGTGTGTGTGTGAGTGTGAGTTTGTTGTCTTGTCTTGTCTTATATCATACATTAACTCTGTCCAATCAGAAAGCAGTGGGAATAGGCAGGTCTAACTGGTGCTTGACTTGGAAATAACATGTTTCTCTCTTCACAGTTGAAAAAGTAACTGACATTCTCTTGTAGAACCCTTGCGGTTCACCGTTTAACCTGCCACTAACCAGAACACACTGAGACGCACAAAACTTAATTCATATTTATTTAAATTAAATTTGCGCTTCACCACAACACATACATCTGCATGATTTATAACTCTGGCCAAAGCTGGGGGAAACTAAACCATTTGTCAGCTTCAGTCCCGTGCTAACAGCCCAAGTCCTTTTTCACGCCCATGTCTTTCGCCAAACATTTTGGTGTAAACTTCATTTCATACGCGGTTATTTTACATGACGAAATCTACCCAAACTAAATAAACTTCCTGAGTGATGGCTTGGGAATGTTTGGTTATAAGGCTCATTTCTACATCTGTCACTGTACTTGTATTTGCATGTCAGGCAACTTACCGTGCAGCAACAGCTCGGAAATAGAGCGTCGGGAAAACATGTCCATCAAGGAGAAAATAAAATGGGCAGCTTCCTCTAAGTTCCCTTAATCAATAATTCATGTCGGGCAGGGAGTCTTGATTTATGAACGATTTAAACATGGTGGACGGCCCCTGGTCCATCTCTGAGCCTGGAAATGAAACTCGAAAAGCAAACAAAAGCATTTAGCGAATTCTTGCCCGACGTCTTTATGGCGGATGTTTCAAGGCACACACAAAAAAATCCCGGATGGCGGAGACTTATCCCACGTTGATGGGGGTCGCCAGGTGTCAGGGTGGAACGGTAATACTATTTGGCAAACGGAAAGTGGAGATCAAAGCGGGGGGAGTGCACCTGCTGACCCGGAGAATCTCGTGACTAATGTCTGGGCCGCTCTTTGTGACGCTGAATGTAAACTCACGAGGAGAAACGGCTCATCAAAGTCAGGATCAAGTGAAGCGTTCAAAGGGAGACCTGCGAGATGTAAAGCCGCGGACGTCAGCCTGGGTTTAAACAATGTCCGTGTGTGATTGGTGTAATGATCGCGAAGGGTTTAACGTTATAAATCTATGTGTGTTTAATTAAAGGTGTATAGGAGGATTTTCCCAAATTTTAGGAAAGAACCGCCCTCTCCGCTTTTTGAACAACATTCTCTAGTCTTATTTGACGAGTACGTGTCACCAGAATGATTGACAATTGGGAGGACCAATAGTCTTGATGATTCCATGAGTATAGGTCATGCTTTTTTTAGTTCGTAAAAAAATGTGTTTGTCCGAACAAAAAAGTATTGTGTAAATATTGTGAACTAATCAAACCAGATAAAGACTTCACCGCATGAAGTCTTTATCTCGTTACTCATTAAACAAAGCTGATCTAAAGATGTGCATGTGAACTGCACGTTGAAACTAGAGATAGAACCAAACTGTTTTGAGGAATAGGCATATTTGTGAGGTTTCAAAGTTAGTATTACTTTAGCTTTAACACTAGAATTATGAACTAGAACTTCTAGAGCCATCATTTTGACTGCTCCCATTCAAACCAATGGATGTCTGAGAAATTCCCCCAAAGAATGTTTAGTTTTTCACCAGATGTATTAAAAAGGAAAGTCGCTGATAAGTTTTTACCTGAACCTCCTTTAATAAGTGCTAAAACTAGTCATTATAACTGAAATACAGCAGATGCAAAGGCTACTGCTAACTTCTGACAGTAAACTGTGTGTTGCTATGGTAATTAGCATGTGATATTCTCTGGTGGGAAATGAGTTATAAACTAAACTAAATAAACTATGTAAAGATACAGTAAAAAGGCACAAAGTTAAGGAGACCAAGAATGTATATGTGATGAGTAAATACACTTCGAAAACTAAAAGCTGTCAAATTGACTCCTTTGGTATAGTGTTAACAACAAATTTGATATAATGATAAGCTTGAAAGCAAAGGGTGCTTTGTGTTACGTCCAGTTATTTCATTAATGGTAATGTAAGCATAAAATCAGGTTTTCCCCAATAACTTCAACACATATATTCATCTGTGACTACTCTTTCACATTAAACCATGATGATGACAAAATCCCACTTCCCGCAGTTGCAAACAGACCAAGTCATTGTTTGAATTTTATGTGCCAAAATTGTCTGTGTGGCACTGCTGAATCATCCGTGTATCACAGATTTGTCCAAAAATCTATTTAAAATAAAAACAATTAAATTGGGCTAAAGATCTGTGTATATAGCTTGCAGTTATTCTAGAAAACAAAACACCATCCATATAATCAAATACATGAGGGCAAAACATCCATCCATCCATTTTCTTCCCCCTAATCCATTTCTGGGTCAGGGGAAGTGGCAGTCAGAGCTGCACCCAATTCATAGGAGGACGAATCTTTGAGAGCATTGACTTGATCTTTCAGTGCGGGCTTCAGGCAAAGTGGGGTTAAGTGTCTTGCACAAGGACACAACGATGAGGGTAAAACAATATCAGCATTATTGGCAGCATAATAACTATGACCTGTTTGTAATACAGGCAGGTATATGAGAACATGCTAAATCAAACACACAATGAATGTGTGTGTTTGTGTATGTATCTCACTAAACATATTAAATCCTGCTTCCATGAACTCAAAGTCAGCAGTTTCACGCATGCGTAACGGCAGCGCGTCTGTCTGCTGATTCAGGAGCGCGCTTGGCTGCGGTGACGTGGGGCTGTCACCGGGATGAAGTGGGGGAGTGCGGGAGAGAGTGGCTCCAATTATCCCACAGTAATTAACGCGCTGTTTAATGAGAAGTGAAGCTCCACTCCCATATATGTGGGTTCCAGTGATGGCATGCAGAGGGACATCTTGTGGAATAATAAAAAAAAGGGAAGTCCTGTTGTGAAGAATGTGACTCTAAATCCAATTGCTGGATTTTTGCGATTAAGAGGCAAATGGCGACGCGCTCAGCAGATCAACGCGGTGTTGAGCATAGGGGCAGGCAAATGACACGCAGGGATAAAGTGTTTGCGAGAAAGCGACTATTTAGCGCGGGCTGGGGATGTGTGGCTTAAGCCGTCAGAGCCTGGTGCTGCTGTTGGAAGGGAGTGAGTGAGTTAGTGCGAGGAGAGGGAGGGCAGATGGGACGGGGGCAGAGAGAAAGCATGAGAGGGAGAGAGAAAGAGAGAGAGAGAGAGTGTGTGGAGAGATGAGAGCGGCGCGCACACGTCGCACTATCAACTGGACTCATCTGAGAAAACAACTGCGCTGCGAGACGCAACATTCCTAAATACAAGTTTTGCCCTGCGCCTTTGGTTATGGACCGGGGGAAGGTTTCCACTCCCCGGGCTGCTCCTGGCGCCGTGTCCGGTCAGAGGAGCCCATACGCGGGCGATTTGATCAGCCAGCTGCCGCTTTTCGCCCACTGCGCACAAGCTTGAACAGAAAAGAAAAGAAAAAAAAAGTTGACGCGCGTATAGCGACACGTCTCTGGAGCTATACGGGAAAAAGTCGAAAAAAGAATGGACTTTTTTTTTTTAGCCGTGCGTAAAATGGCGCAACGCGAGGATTTAACAGTGGAATAATGCCTGTCTGTGGACTCGACAGGGTTTTGCTTCTTTTGAAACTGAAGCAGCGGCGTCACCGTGAGGACCGTAACGTTGTTTTACGCGGAGAGAGCGCATGAAGGACTGGAGAGCAGCAGAGGAAAAGTTGCACGGCAGCGGGGATTGGAACAAATAAAAGCTCGCTCAAGGTAAACACTGTTGTCACTGTTGTATCTAAGGAAATACAGGTGGTAAGTTTGTATGAGAAAGGAAACAACACTATGTGGCAATACCTTTATCAGTTTGGCGTTTTGGATGCGTATATAACCAACTTGTAAGCATACACCCAAACTAATATGGGGACTAAATGCGCGTATATAGTGAGTAACGGACCTTTTGTGCTTTGAATGCACTGCACGGGTGTCAGTCCCTCTTTGAAATTACGCATTCAAACGGACACAACACTCCGGGTACAACCTTTGAAGCCCCCCTTATACCTGATACGCCTCTTATCGCCCCCCTCCTAAATACCACATCCATTTGAAACTTTTAATTGCGTTTTCGGACGCTAAATCCACTTCTAATCCGATTGTCCTGGCCACATATCACAGCGTCCATCTCCTCGCCAAGGAACTGTGCTCCCTCAACTGGAAATGCAAAGAAAAGAAAAAGAGGAAAGAGCGCGTTTGATCTGTCTCTGCTCATTTATTAGTCGCCGTGGTATCAAGCCATACAAGTAACTTCATGGAATGGCATTTTCTCATTGAATCTGTCTCTGCCGGGAATTTATTTACATAGGGCGAAGACTTCTTGATGCATGCCTTCTGCTGTCGCTCAGCCCGTGCCATGGCTGGAGATTTCATCGCATCATTTCATTCCACCCAGGGCGTATTTGATTAAATTTAGCTCATTCAATTTAGAAAAGTAGTTCGCATATGTGTGTCAAAGGATTGTTTCCCCATCACTGCTGTATAAAAAAGGTCTCATGCGCATGGGCTTCAATCCAGTCAACAACCTCAAAAAGAATTTCAAGAAGAAGCAAGGCTGAAAAGGGGAAAAAAAAACACATGCCTGACTTCGCTTGCGCACAGCTATGTAATATTTAGCGCGTGTGTTTTAAAAAATGCAGGGGAAATTAGGCCGAGCATAAAGAATTTCTCTTTCTTGAAGTCTTGTCTTGGCAAATCCTGCAGGACACCACTCACGGGCAGCTGTGACTGTGCTCCACAATGTGCCCACCGTTTTCTGTCATATGTGTCATCCAACATTGACTCAGGGTGGAGTTTGAAAGCGCACATGACAGCCAGCGTCTTTCAATCATGCAGAGAGAGAAAAGACGTGATGGGTCGTAAAACGTGAAATAATGGATCTCTGGGTCTACTTTAATCCTGTGGCCTTGTGCTCTGCTACCACGCTGTAAAATAGTGTGTATTGATTATTTACGCTAGGTGAAGGGGCTAAATTATTTTTCAATCCAATTTCCTTTGACAGCTTGTGTATGTCACTCTGCAGACAGGATGTGTTGCCTGTAGCTACCTCAGAAATGGTCAATTTTGGCTGGTAATCAACTATTGGGGTAAAATACTCACACTCATACCAAACACATACCTTCAATCATTGTAATTAACAAATAGCTAGAGTTAATTTGCAAAAAACAGCTATCTCTCTGTTGAGAATTTGTCAAAAGGGGTGAAAGTTTATGTGTGGCACTAAAATTGTCCTGGCTTTTAAAAAAAATGTATTTTTCGAATGGCACTTTTGCAAATGAACTTTTCAAATAATGGATTGATTTTTTACTAGTATACTCTACATCCAAACATCACTTCTTCACTAGGTTTCCTTTCATTACGTACTACTTTCTACCCCCGAGACTTGTGCAGCCATTTTGAGAACTGTGTGTGTAATACTGTAACAATTTGGCTGACTACAGTATGTTTTACCTGCCTAAGAATCACTTTTTGTCCATCACCTGCTTGGGGCCCTCACAATTATGATGGTGGGTGGCTGCGTATAATAAGTAGCTTCTCTGTGGGCCACCAGGAAAACATAACCTGTGTTTACTGTAAGCACTTGTGTGTTTACTTGTGCAGCTAAGCCCATGCACAACCTTCACTGCAGCAGTAGAGCAAGTCAAGTGTTTTGCTCCCTACGCCAGGCCTCTACTTAAGAAGGGTAAACACTGAAAGGCAAATGATTTTTCTGCCATATATGAGACTTTACAGAAGTTACAGGCTAAGCAAAGTCATTAAAATGTATGGATATTCACCTGGACGTGTAAATTAAACATATTTTGTTCATAAATACTAGATTGTGTTAGTCCCGACCACAACATACAGCCTTCTTTTTATTAGAACAAATTGTGTCTTGGCATACTTGTGAGGAAGAGCCCCTATTTGACATTTTGGGGTGAGAGCTGATTGGTTGAGTGAGAGTGTTACTATCCTTTTTACTTTTTGGTCTAACAAGCAGATGTGACTGAGGCAAAAAAAATACATGTATGTGCCAACTAGCCATAGAATCATATATGGTATATAGATAACTGTTTTGAGAATGAGGAACTGATTGGATGGATTTCATTGCATGTATACAATTTTAAATATTTTTCTTCAAAGTTAGGTACCCCAGCTTAAAATAAAAAGCTAATATCACAATCATGGCACTACGTTTTGAACTATATTCACTGCTGCTGACATTGGGGTGTCTGAGTCCATGTGTGTACCCTTGCAGTGTGCTATTACTATGGTCAAGGCAAAGGGATAAAAGAACTCTTTATGTCTGTGAAACCGGATGTGCAAGAGCCTGTTCTGAATATTTATCAGTTTTTTAATAACCACAGCATGATTTGAGCTCTGAACGCCGGCGTTGTGAGTGACATTCCGCTTGGTTTTTAGAGAGAGATGAAAAGTAGAGGAAAGAAAACAGTGTGGATGTTTTCATGTGGAATAACGAAGCGGGGAAGAAAGAGGGGCTTCTTTCTGCTGAAAAACAGGCCACCTCTGGAAGTCCTAATCTTCTGTGTTATTTTCCCACAGGACTCTGGACCCACATGTCACCCCCCTCGGACCGTGGGCTGGTCAGGGCCCAGCCGTGTGTGACAGGCAGGTGTGTGGAGCCCGGAGCGGCACTCTACAGCGAGTCCTTAAATTGGCCCTGACTGAGCTCTGTGTGGTGCTATGGTCTTACATCTCAGCATGGATGGAGTCGGTCCACAGACTGGCCACCACTAATGAGGTCGTCGCTCTTCAGCTGAGGACTAGCATTTACAGGATTACTCCCACTGTTTCCTGCTCTTTTCCCAGCTAACAACATTGCTACCAAATGTTGGGACATTTTGGCTTTATTTTTTGTGGATATATATATACACATCATTTCCTTTTTGAAATTCGTTTTTAATCCATCAGAGTCTGTTTTTTTTGGGGGTTTTACTGCTGCCATTGCATTTTTCCACTATGGAGTTTCTGGCCGGACCCTGGAATAAAGGTTGGGCTTCATTCTTGCATTTTTGGTTGACTGTTATAATAAGCCTCCAATTGCAGTTTGGTCCAGGCGCCTCCTGCCCAGTTGAGTGCCGTTGTGACAAACAGTATGTGTACTGCAATGATCGCAGCTTGACCTCAGTGCCTCTGGGGATAGAGGAGGGCTACAAGATCCTCTTCCTACACAACAACCAGATCAACAATGCTGGCTTTCCAGTAGAGCTTCACAATATAGCCTCACTAGAGACTGTTCATTTGTACGGCAACCAGCTGGATGAGTTTCCTGTAAACCTCCCCAAAAACACCAAGGTACTGCACCTTCAAGAGAACAATATACAGACAATCTCCAGAGCAGCCCTGGCTCAGCTGGCCCGATTGGAGGAATTGCATCTTGATGATAATTCAATCTCCACTGTGGGTGTAGAGGAGGGAGCCTTTAGAGAGGCAGTTAGTTTAAAACTTCTATTCCTCACAAAGAACCACTTAAGCAGTGTTCCCATTGGCCTTCCAGAAGACCTTCAGGAACTGCGATTGGACGAGAACCGAATTGCTGTCATTGCAGAAGAGGCTTTTCAGAATGTGACTCGATTGCATCGCCTCCTGCTGGATGGGAACCTGCTGACGGATGATGGTATCACACCGGGCACATTTCAAGACCTGACCAACCTTCGTGAACTGGCCCTAGCCCGTAACTCCCTCACATTCCCCCCTCCCCTTCTGCCCTCACAGTCACTGGTCAAACTCAGCCTGCAGGAGAACCAGATCAACCAGATCCCTGTGGCCGCCTTCTCCGACCTCAACAAGCTGGAAAAACTGGACATCTCCAGTAACCAGCTGCAGACTCTGACCCAGGGCGTGTTTGACGGGCTGTACCGCCTCCGCCAGCTCATGGTGCGCGGAAACCCCTGGCGCTGTGACTGTGCCGTGAAGTGGGTGGTGGTGTGGCTCAAGTCTCTGCCATCCTCAGTCAACGCCCGAGGCTTCACATGCCAGAGCCCGGATAAAGTGCGAGGAATGGCAATCCGAGAGCTCACTTTGGATATTATTGAGTGCCCTATAGATAAAGAGGAGCCAGCCTGGCCCACCCTGCGCTCCACACCCCCTCCTCCCCCCACCACTGCCCCTGTCAGCACCATGATCTCCACCCTCATCACCACCTCCCTTCCTTACTACTTTGACTCCCCTTCACCGCCTCTCCCTCCCATCTATCACAACCCCCCTGGGCCTATGCCACCCTACGAAGACCCTCTCCAGATCTCCTTCCATGTGCTGAACTCCACAAACATCGAGGTGAGCTGGGCTTCCTACTTCACAGTGACAGCGTACAAGGTCACATGGGTCAAAAGAGGCCAAAGCCAAATGAGTGAAGGAATGCAGGAGAGTACTGTCAGCGGTGACCGCCGGCACATTAGCCTTTCGAACCTGGAGCCACGCTCTGTCTACCGGATCTGTGTGCATGTTCTGGACTCACTTAACTCTTACCGGCCTGGAGAAGACACTATATGCTCTGAGGCCAGGACTAAGTCTACTTCTCCTAAGTCGACTGGCTCAGACCAGTCTTCTCAGGACAGCCTCAACTCTACGCTGCTTTTGGCAGGGATCATTGGAGGGGCGGTGCTTATCGTCCTGATAACACTGCTCAGCTTGTTCTGCTGGCACATGCACAGGAAGAGCCGGTCATCTTCCACCAAATGGAAATACAACCGCGGTAGGAGAAAAGACGACTACTGCGAGGCTGGAACCAAGAAGGATAACTCCATTTTGGAAATGACTGAGACAAGTTTCCAGATAGTGGCACTGAACAATGAACAGCTGTTGAAAGGCGATTTTCGAATCCAGCCTATCTACACTCCCAATGGTGGCATTGGATTTAGAGACTGTCACCACCTGAGTAACAACAGCATAGCCTACTGCAAAAGCAGCAATGTGCCCAGTACAGAGTTCTGTCACACGTGATGCTGCGAATAGTACAGTACAGTATACCAAGGAACACTTGCATAATTACACATACACACTATTTGTGTAGACAACAAGCATACAATTTAGTCAAATTAAACTGTACTATATATATTTCCAAGTTCTGTCTACAATGTAATTTATACTGTGGATAAAAATGTGGGATTCTCTGCTATCTTTTTTATTCCTAGAGAAATGAGTTTGTTTTTTTATAACCAGCAGAGTTTGAGAGTTGTTTTAATGGTCAGTACTGTACATGAACATTAGTACAATCACGGCACCCTGGGTGTAGCTTCTTTCAAATGCTGTCAGAGATGTAGAGATGCATACAGAGAGGCCTGGGATTCTTTGCTAACCACAGAAGCAAAAATATGGTCTATTTATGTTTTTAGAAACTGCAACCCCTCCACAATACAGCCCCACAGTATAACGCTACAGGGCAAATCCAAACACGGCTGATTAAAGCATGGTGGAAAAGTTGCACTGGTTTTGTTGGTGGGAAGTAGTAAAAGCAGAGGGTTGTAGTGCACTTTCTTATTAATGGAAGCATGGCAGGAAATAAGCAGAGGAGGAACTAGCTTGTGGGAGGTTGTGTCATCAGCACTTGTGAAAAACCCTGAGCTGAGATTTCCCAGAAGTCTTCTAACACTAAAAGTATCATTGTCACACTGATTCACTGTGTAAAGGTGGTCTTCTAGCTGGGGCCCTTTTACACACATACGCATGCACTGGTCAGAGGTCTGTCACATTCTGCACATTCATGTTCCGTCTAATGAGCAGCAACACGACTAGGTTCAGCTATTAACACGAGCCTAAAAAGCAACAAAGGCTTTTTTTTTTGTCTGTAATGAGCTGCGTGAATGTGCTGAGGCGCACAAATCCTCTCTGAAGAAATTCTCTAATTTGTTCTGCTTTCCTGTGCATCCTCCTGCTATGACGTGTAAGGCCACAAGAGGGCAGCTTTCCTCAGTCTATTTCTATACGCGTTAGTGGAGACATGTGCAGTGAAGATAATGCAGCATGACTTGTTTTAAATTCTACAGCGCATAAGACAAGCCACATTACTCTTGCTCATCTTGCAAAAACCTAACAATGTGGAATCATTTGAACCAAACCAGTGCGTCCAGTTTAGTGGTTTAATGATATAGATTTTCATTGAGTGATATGAGAGAGAGGCCTGTGAGAAGACAGGAAGCGGTGGTACATTTTTTAGAGGGCTCTCACTAACCACTAATTATACTCCCACTCTTTTCAACCTTGTTCTTGCATTCATTAGACTTTTTGATAAATTGGTGAATTACAACAATGCGATTACACTACGCCCCTGGTCCTTACAAAGCAGAGAGCTCAATTTTGACTGAGCAGCTCATCTAATGACTCATCGTTTATTCTTTTGTCTTCATGTAATAAATTGTCGCGTCCAGAGAGGTTTTGAACAATGCAGCGACTCACATGCGTGGCCTGGTCTGTGATTGTATGGTTCAAAATGTCTCTTTTTTAATATTATAATAGCATACAACACACTTTAGTCTGAAATTACAATATTCAGTCATTTAAGACAATTCAAATGCAGCTGTATTTGTAATTGGAAAGGTATATTTTTGCAAATTAACTTTCAGAAATAGATTCATTTTATTTTTCACTTAAAAAGGCTGTCTGGAAAATGGTAAATTTTTGGCACGATCTTGGCTATCTCAAAGTAAACATGCCATTCATTACTTAACAAAATTATACCGGTAATCATACAATACTTTTTTGGAGAGGAGAACAAATTTTCAGGAAGGAATATTGGTTCTATCAAATCCTGATTGGACCTTCATTTGATGACGTGAAACAATTTACAGGTTAAGACCCACAATATGTCATCAGTAACTTATTAAACAAATATATTAGTAGATAGATAGATACTATTTGTCCAGTAGCAGCAGAATCACAAATAAATAGATCACACACAAAAATAGCTAACTATAGTATTTCATGTGTAGAATGAAAAAATAAAATTACAATAATTTGGTCGATTATGAAAAAAATAAAAATATATAATGTATTTATATCAGTAATCCTGCTCTGTCCCTGATTTCAAAGTCTATTTTGATACAAGAAAGATGTTACCTTTTTCATATTAACAACAATTAACACCAGTTATTTAAACAATGACATATCCACATTGGTTAGTAAGTAAGTGAGTGAGTAAGTAATGTTTAATTATATAGCTCAGTTTTACAGACCAAAGTCACCCAAAGCGCCTTTCAGAGTTCAGAATAAGAGTGTATCCCCAAACCATTCACAGCCCCAATTAAAAAAAAAAAAAACCTTGCATATCCTGATTGACCCATGGATCCTGCGTGCAAAATCTCCAGTTGGACCTCTTCTTTTTTTTTCACCCCTTAAGACGATGTTATTGGATTTGACAAGATTTTATTTTGAGGCGCCTAGTGTGAAGAATTCCCACCACCGCCGCCAACACTGCCCTCCCCCCGCCTCAGCTCTCCCCCTCCGCCAGCCCACCCCCTCAGCTCCTGTCTCCTCATAATCCTCACCCAAAAAAGGCGAATATGAAGTCCTTATTTTCACTGGCACAGAGGGAGAGCGATCGCTGCTTGAACTGTAGAATAAAGCCTGACAAGTCAAAAATGGGGAAAATAATGTATCTATTTTTTTCCCTCAAGCAGCATTTGAAGTGTAGGTACTGTAATTAGATTAGGTCACATTCATGCGGTGGGCTTGTTTTAAGTTCAAGTAAAGAACACACAGCCGCAGTGTTGAGAAGGAAAAAATAACAAAAACAATTCCATTTTATATGTATTTTAGCTTTTTTTTCTTGCTAGCTGAGTAGCGCGCTAGTTTGAAAGCTCTCATGACATTTATCAAGTTGCAAATGTTTGAAAAATTAATTCAACTCTCGGTATAGGCTGTAAGAAAGTATAGAACATTGAGTTTACAAACCACATCAAACGGGAGATGGAAAAGTGATTTCAGTCTGACATTGAAGAACACGTAAGAAAGTCGGAGCTGCCAAACTAACTCTAGTTCTGTTCTGCTCAAGATCAAAGCCACTTCAAAACCTTTCAGTGAAGTTAAAAATGTGTTTCTGTTTCTGTCAAATTACTGGTAGTTTTAGAATTATTTCTGAATACATTTTGTCCGCTCTATATTTAGTCGAAGGAATTATGTGCAAATAATATCAAACCACTCAAATCAATGTATTTTTTTATCGTCCCAAAATGACAATAGATGTCGTCTCGAGGGGTGTCACAGAATTGTCGATTTGCCAACAAAAGTTTAGAAAATAAAATGATAAGAGTCATTGTTTCACACCATAATGGGTTAACCATCCAATTTTTGTTTCTGCTTAATCCGTTGCTCGGTCACGCCGTAACCCATGTTTATAAATATCTCGAATCAATCCCTTGTTCTTGTCCTGGCAGTGTTAGCTCTGATAATATACATTCTTAAATAAAAAATAAAAAAGTTAAAAATGCAGCCAGTAATAAGCGCTAAAGAACTGTGTTGTCGTTAGGTGCATTCTAAAAGCTGTAGTGTATGTTTCCAATTGAAATGAATGCAATAAAAGAGTGAATTCTGAGTAAAAAAAAACATTGGGTGTATGATATAAAGAGGAGCCACGGGGGTCACTGTTTGAGGCCTCATGCCGAGAGCTGATTGGCTGCAGCGAGAGTTAAACCCCACGAATCGCTTTTGAGTGTGACAAAGATACTCTAGGGTTGTAACGGTGTGACAAAAACAAATGAATAGTTAATCTGCAAAGACAGATAAGTGCCATTAGAAAAAAAAATATATTTAAAAGACTTACAATTTGCCCTTTAACAAGAAGTTTTTTTGAAAAGCCAGGTGTAATTGAGTGCCATATAAATCATGTTTTACCCCTTGTTGAGAAAATCCTTTCAGATTTACTGCCAATAATAAAACAAGTGGATTATTGCAGCTAAAGATATTCAACTTTTTCACACATTTTCAAAACTGACATATCTGTTATAACTCTTCAAACATTTCTCTTTTCCCAGCTTTAAGTTCATGTTTATTAGCCACATTAAATTCTATAGTTGTTGATATTGTTCTATACCAAAATACTCTCATTATTAGCCAAAACTTCTGTGGTTATCAAAGCATATCCGGTTTTTTTTGGACCATTTTCTTCTAATATCCACACATCAGCTTATCTTACGCATGCACTGTCCACGGAGGCTTGAGAGACCCGTTACTCTTTGATCCGGCTGCTTTGCAATCATGAAGCTTAACCCACGGCGAGCGGTTCACCACAGGGGCCCACTTCATTACTTTAGAGTCGACCCCACCTGACAGCGACTTATGTTATATCAAAAAAAGAAAAATGGTTGAGAAACTTGAACATTATTGCTTCATCTTGTGTGAAATCCAATCGCTGTGAACGCCCCCTGGTTTGTGAATGTGCTACGGAGACTTGCCTTACTTTGATGCAGGAGAGTGATCGGAGAAAGCGATGGGAAAAGACACACATAAAAAAAATGCAGCACGAAAAGCACACCTCGGCCACTGCAGTATTAGCAAACGAAAAAAAAACAAGAAGGCACCAAAAATTGTTAGCAATGCGTAGCTGAGCAGGCTGAGATGTTTTTGCTGCGGAGTCGTAATCAACCAATGGATTTTGTTGTTGTTGTTTCCGGGTGCCGAGACCTAACTTACATTCAAGCTCATCGAGTACAATGTTATGTTCGATTACGGAAAGGTCATTTTAGACATAACAAACACGTTTTTTTATGATTTTTGCGTTGACGTAAAGGCCATACGTTACTTTGCATAAGTGAATCCTGCACTGCTAGTAGACTGGGACTTGGTAAATATACATGTGTTAAAGAATATGTCAGTTACTTTTTGAAGACCAGCATTGGTTAAACCTGCCCATGCTCAGCCCTGCAGCTTCCTGATTGGTCAAAATTAAATTCAAATCCATGGGGCCTCTCGGAATTGTATTAACTATTTCTCCAGCAAATCTTACTGGT